TTTAGGGTGAGGGTTTAGGGTTTAGGGTTAGGGTTTAGGGTTTAGGGTTTCGGGTTTCGTGTTTAGGGTTTAGGGTTTCGGGCTTAGGGTTTAGGGCTACCCTAAGCGAATCACGAACCCTGGGCCTGGAGCCACACTCTGACCGTTGAGTACGCTAAAACCCAACAAAGAGCAGCGATCAGAGCCATTGGGGGAGGGGTTAGGGGTTTGGGGTTTGGGGTTTGGGGTTTGGGGTTTGGGGTTTAGGGTTCAAAAGCAGCGAGCTGTTTGAGGCTCAGGTGCAGGGCAAGTCAACAGTCTGCAAGGGTTTAGGTCTTGAGTTTAGGGTTTTTAGGCGTCAGGTTTAGGGAATCACAAATACAGGATTCAAGGCCCTTAGCCCTAAACCGTGAAAATCCCTACGCCACCCTCGCCCAACCCTGTTGCCTCGTTCCACAGGTCACGCTCGATGAGGTCTCGAAGGAGATGCCTGTTCACCTGGTGGAACCCGCATACTTAAACCACCCATCCCCTAAACCATCCTACAGACGATGAGGAGTTTTATAGGAAATAGGGCTTTGGGCTTCGGATGAAGCCAGATCTGAAGATCCCTATGTAAGGCGAGGTTCTGGGGCCAAGGTTTAGGGTGTAGGGCTTGGGGCTTAAGACCCGAAACTGCAGCGAAACTAACAAGCACCTCAGAAAGCCCTAAGGTGAGCCCTTTGCAGCCCGCAAAGCCGCAAAACTCTAGACCCCAAACCCTGCACCCTAAACCCTAAACCCTACACCAAACCCTAAATGTGTTCCTTCGGGGTTGGGGTTTCTGCAGGCCTCTAGTCAGCCTCTGCAGGCTGAACTAAGCTCGTTCAACTCATAGGGTCCAGATCTTTAGGAGGCTGCACATATGCTTGGGGTTTAGGGCTTAAACTGACAGTCCTTCATAGGGATTGTAATCGGGGCGTACTATAATCCCGATTGGGGACGGTTAGTATAAGGGGGAGCACATGTTGAGGGTTCTAAATGATGGGCCCTTTGAGGGGGTTCCGTACCAGCATATTCTGTATCGTTTGGGATTCCGGCCCTCAACTGCTGTAGATCAGCCCCGAAGCTTCTAAACCATCTTCTTAACGGCTTGGGGTGTAGGGCTTAAGGAGATTCGCATGACTGCCCCCCCCCGCCCCCTCCCCCGCCCCCGGTTTAGGGTTTAGGGTTTAGGGTTTAGGGTCTAGGGTCTGGGGTCTAGGGTTTAGGGCCTCCCCCTCCCAGATCGGTGTTGAGGTTCGTAGGGACAAGGCTAGACCAACGAAAATCTTATCCATGCGCACCTATGCCTCCGCCCATACCCCAACATGGGGGTTTACGAAAAGTAACAGACCCCAGATAGTAGGATTTCCTTATAATAGGGGCCCCAATAAGGTGCCCCTAATTGCGGAAAAAAGCAGACATGATTCCTGCCTGGACGAACTCGCCCGAGAGCACGCGGCGAACATAGAGATTCTGCGTGTACGGCTCGAAAGATTCCTGGCATGGCTTCATCAGTGTCAAGCAAGTCTGACAGTTCCCACCCTTTAAAAGCCCTAAACCCTAAAGCCCAAACCCCAAACCCTAAACCCTAAACCCTAAACCCTATCACCTGCCCCAAAGGCACCACCATCCCTGAGAGGATTGAGCAGCAGAACCATTCACCATCGAAAGGCCAAACACCCCAGACTGCCCCCTCCGACCCAAAAAACAAGTGTATATATATATATATATATATACACATTTATTGATTTATATATAGTTATTATACGTAATTGTCTATGTATTTAGATATATATATATATAACTGATATCTTACCAGGATGGCCCTTAATTGTCTCGGAAACAAAAAAACATTCCGGAATATGATCCTCTAAATTATCCCAAGGGCCTACCTAGCTTGTCAGGGTTTAGGGTTTAGGGTTTAGGGTTTAGGGTTTAGGGTTTAGGAAAAGCCCGGCTTCAACACAGCTAGACAGTCAACACCTAGCGGGGTTCAGGGCGTCGGGGTAAGGGGCTTAGGGGTCTGTAGGGTTCGGAGTCTACTGGGCCTAGGGCCTATGGGGTGGAATTTGGGGTGTATACCTTAAACCCTACCCAAAAACTCAAAACCCAAAACCCAAAACCCTAAACCCTAGCCTACAATTCCGAAACCCCATTGACTCGGCCCGAGGGGCGTTGTTGCCCAAGATCTGTGCCGTGCTGGCCGTCGGCATGGGAGCGACCAGCAGGGAGTTCCTGATCTCCGCTGAAAGGACTAAGGGCTTGGGGTTTAGGGTGTAGGGTTTAGGGTTTTGTAACACAATGGTCCGTTTATGGGCTTGGGCTATTTTGCTTACATAATTGGGGGGTGCAGGTAGGGGTTTGATGGTTCACTGGGCGGTGCTGAAGGCTTTGGTTGCTTGTTGGTCTCACATGCGAGGATCAGGGTCTAAGACGTCTCGCCCACATCGAGTTCAAGCGTTGCCCCGCAGATCTCGAAGCCTTGATCCTTGAATCCTGGGCAAAACGCTCGCGTACGCAAAAAAGGCCTGTTCGAAAATTGTGGGTCTCTTGGAGGTCTTATAGTAAGACCCACACATTGGGCGACTGACCCGTAGAGACCCGAAGTACAGAACTTCCTATTTAAAACACCTTGCCTTGTAACTGCAAGTACACCTCGAAACAAGTGGAGCTCTGCCTCTGACATCCGACACCAAATCCAAAACCCCAGGCCCTAAGCCACTGCCACACGCCCAAGGTTCCGCAGGCCATGCTTCGCAATCCTCAGCATCTGGCGGGGACAGCCTATCCCCCATACAAGTTACTAAGGGATGGGGGCTCGGGTTTCAAAAAAAAGAAGCTTCATGGATCAGGTTGCAGGGCTCGCAAGCCTCAGTTGGGCCCCTGCCAGCGAGAAAAGAACTGAAGGCCTCATCCCAAACGAGTCTCAACTCCAACCTCCCCCCCCACCCAACCCTCAACCCACCCTAAGCCCTAGGGTTTGGGCGCTGGGTGCAGGGCGTAAGGGATTGCTAAGGACTGCCTGCTGACTGAGAGCATTCGCCAGTGCATGTGTGTTTACGGCTTAAACCTACCAATTACGGCTTCAGCCGAAGTACCAATGATGAGTCTTGTTTTCTCATCACCCTAAACCCTAAACCCTAAACCTTTTGCAACGTAGGAAGGTTTAGGGTTTAGTGTTTCGGGTTTTGGGTGCTGTGGGTTCAGATGTTCGGGCTGAACCTCACAAAGCTCTCAAGAAAGCACACATCCTAAACCCCGGAACCCTAAACCCTAGAAACCTAAACCCGAGAACCCTCACCAATCCAAAAAAGGCCCCTGCAGAGACCCTCAACCCCAGAACCCCAAACTTCTGGAACCCTCACCTTAAGACCCTCACCCCTCGAAAGGCCTCTGAGGTCCTGTAAACCCTAAACCCTTTAAGCCCTTGAAACCCTTTGAGCCCTTAAAGCCCTTTAAGCCCTTTAAGCCGTTTAAGCCCTTTAAACCCTTAAAACCCTTAAAACCCTTTCAACCCTTTAAACCCTTTAAAACCCTTTTAAACCCTTTCAACCCTTTCAACCCTTTAAACCCTTTTAAACCCTTTCAACCCTTTAAACCCTTTAAAACCCTAACCTGCAGCTGAAGGGCTTGGCCTTCAACGCCTGCCAGTCCCAACGCCCGCTCTTGGGAGCTCTCTGCCACATGTCGAACCTGCCCGGGGGGCAATAAAAGGCGGGCTGGAGGGTCTCGGGTCGAGTGGGTGGAGTTGACTAAGTGCATGATGGTCATATTTGCAGGTGTATGTATGTATATGTACATATGTGTGTATGTATGTAATATGGAGATTCGTACATAATTGTATTCACATATATACAAATATGCATAAATGTCTCTTTTTTGTCTGGGTGTGTGTGTGTGTGTGTGTGTGTGTGTGTGTGTTTTTGTTTTGTTATTTTCTGCTTTTTTTTTTTGTTTGGGGGGGGGGGACAGGAATGAGCATGTAGGTAGAAGGCCTGCACCGTACACCCATATGAGCTGCCCCCCCAAGTAACTCAACTGTTCTTACTCATCATCACAGCTTGACATTTCCTCTTCTGAATCCCTGCACTCTATGGCTATAATAACCAAAAAAACAAGCTACCAAAGTCTGGGATTCAGCGCTTCGAACGGCTGTAGCCCAGAAACCATAAAACAGCAATAGTACCTTCTTCTGGTTGGTGACCCTTACAAGGGAACCTGAAGCAAAAAGAGTACCACTGGGCTAAAAAAGACCACCCGAACGCCAACTTGAAGTCAGAGAGCTGGAGAGTGCCCTGGCTTGCCGGGCTGCCGTGGTATGTCCTTGGTTCCGAAAGCCCAGTGTCTAGGGTTTAGGGTTTAAGGCTCAGGGTCAAGGACTCGGCATGCAGTGACAGACATCGGCAAACTTTTAGACCTCTAAACGCCTACATGAACCCCCTACTCTCAGGAGTAAAACCGCTTATTTCAGCGGAATTGGGGCCCTTGCGCCCCCGAAGCGCCGATGCTCGGCCCAACTTTTGGGGGCCTTTCGGCTCTGAGGAGTTTAGGTGGGCTTGGGGCGAAAATTTAGGCAATAGACGGGGACCTAGCCGGGATATCACAGGGCGTCCTAAGGAGCATAGAGGCCCAAACTTAAGCTCGTTTATGTCAATCTCATTCTGCTGAAGGCCGAGGCTCTGGTAAGGACCGTGGATTTCCGCCAACTCGCACGATGCCTCACCAGTACATGACGTCCCTTTGCTTTGCTGGGTTTCCTGTCTTTAGGCCTTGTCGCATTTGTTGCTTCCGTGTCTTAACTATGAGCCATGTCAGCCAGAGATTGGAAGCCGCTAGCTATACGACGCCTTCAGCACCGGAGTCTTCGGGTTTAAGGATTTGGCACCACCGGGAGTGGAGCATGTCGTAGGGTTTAGGGTTTGGGGTTTGGGGTTTGTTTGGGGTTTGGGGTTGAGGGTTTAGGGTTTAGGGTTGGTTGACTTGACTACACACGGGGAAGCTCCTCAGGTCCAGACATCGCAAGGATTGACAGTGGTATGTATACGTATTGCAATTTTACGAACACCTCCAGAAAACCTCGGCAGGCACAATTAACAAGTTCTTCCTGCTCCCGATTCTGCTGCTGTGGTTTGCTTGTTGTGTAAATCTATACGCCCCTTAGAACCTAATGATAGTTATGTTTAATGTTCCCTTGTTTTTCGTTAAAACTCCAAAGATAAACTCCGAACGATGTCGATAGAAATGTATCATGCCAAAAAACGAGGGGGAAAGAACCGAACCCCTGAACAGTCGAGCCCCCCAGCCTCGCAGGCTGCGAAGTAGATGGTCTCAAAGATGTCCTTCCAGTTTCCAGAGTCCGAACTCCCAAGGGGTTTAGGGTGTAAGGTTTAGGGTTTAGGGTTACCGAAACTAGGGTACTCTTTTGGGGTCCTTACTACAAGGGAATCCTAACTCCCAACATGTAAGGGGCTTTCATTAGGGTTTAGGGTTTAGGTTTTTGGAATTAGGGGTTACCTTAGTGGGGTCCTTGTTCTCTTCCAGCTTTCAGAGTCCCATCATGTGGGGATTTCCGGGGATTAAGGTTTAGGGCTTGGGGTTTCTGAGATTAGGGGTACTTGTGTTTTTGCTTCTCTTTTTTGTTTTTTTTTTTTTTTGGGGGGGGGGGGGGGGGGGGGGGGGTTCCTTATTATAAGGGAATCATCCTACTGTTTGGGGGACTATACTAGGGGTCCCCTATTAGATAGGGTTAGGGTTTAGAGTTTAGGGTTCTGTGGTTTTCGGGCCCAAGAACTCGAAGCTTATGGTTGCTAGGAAACCCGACAACGCCCAAAACACCAAGAGATACAAGATTCTTGGACCCCCGGGGTCGACTCGTCATGAGGGAACCAATCCCTTGAAGCACTTGGAGAACCAAAGGGCATCCGGATGATAAGGTCTTGCAGGTTTCAGGATTTTTGGGAGGGTGTCGTGCTTGGTTCTTCGGATTTTCATGTCTGTGCTTGTCATTGGCCTCTCCAGATTATGTATGCATTTCTTTGCAGGTGGGTTTAGGAAAGTAGGGGGCCCCTTAATTTATAGTCCCCCAGCCCCCAAATAGTAGGATCCCCTTAGTATAAGGATCCCCAAAAAAGTACCCCTAAACCCTAAACCCTAAACCCTAAACCCTCTAAACCCTAAACCCTAATTTCGGAAACCCCCCATTTGGGTTTACAGGAACTCCTATCCCGACAACAAGGTTTGGGGTGCGGGCCTGCGACCTAAGGATCCAGCTGACACTTCCCCTAAACTCAAGCGTAAACGGCGCAAACCCTAAACCCTAAACCCTAAACCCTAAACCCCAAACCCTAAACCCTAAACCCTAAACCCTAAACCCCTTTGTACATCACCCCGAACTCTGCCCTGGCGACGCCTCGTTGAGTCGCTTCGCTTCCTCCTTTTGGTAGGCCAGGCTGAGGGCTGCTTTTCTTGAGGATTCAAGAGCTTTTTGCAGGACCGCTAGGACGGGTTTCTTGGTTTCTTACAGGGTTCTTTTGAAGTCTTGAAAAGGGCTGTACATAACTAGACCCAGGAGTAACCTAGGAATCAACAGCGCACCTATTTTTGGTTTGAAGGGGTTTAGAAGGGGACCAAAACCCTAAAAAAGGGAATAAGGACCTAGTCGGGGTTCTAGATAGAGTTTGTGATGAGATTTTAGGGCTTCGGGATGCACACGTACACGCCTCCTCTTGGCTCTTTTTGGAGTCTTTGGGCTGGGCTTTGAGGACGTACCGAGGGTTTCGGTGGTGTAGGGTTGAAAGGGTTTAGGGTTTTGGGGCTTGGGACTTGCAATGGCTCGGTTATTGAGATTATTTGGGGCTTGGGGCTTGGGGTTGAGGATTTAGGTCGGCTTTCCGAGTTCGGGTTTCGAGCTTAGGGCCTCGGATTTTGCTGCGGTTTGGCTTGAAGCTTCGTTCACTTTACGGTGCTTCCGCAGCCCGGTGGCTCCTAAAAGGTCAAGGCCCCCGACACGAAGCCACGGATCCTAAGCCCGAAAACCCGAAGCCCTCTCGGGTCTGCTTGGTTTTTGAGGATGACAAGCATGGCAAATTCCCTATAATGATGACCCTCTTTGTGTCTACAACAGGGCACTGTCGCCTCATGCTGCCCTCCCATAAAGGGCCGCCCTGAAGCCTAAACCCCTAAACCCCTCAACCCCTAAACCCTAAACCCCTAAACCCTAAACCCCTAAACCCTAAACCCCTAAACCCTAAACCCTAAACCCCTAAACCCTAAACGCCCTAAACTTTCACCAAGCACACCCAAACTCTCTAACCCCTACAGCCCCACCCCAGAAACCCCAAATCCCAAAAACAAAGCCCTAGACCCTAAACCCTACAACCCTAAACCCTAAACCCAAAACCCAAAACCCTAAAACCCTAAAAACCTAAAAACCTAAAACCAAAAAAAACCCTAAAACCCTAAACCCTGAAGCCAGTTCCGGCTTCGTGCCGCCCGAGAGGCGCTCTCAAAGGGCAGCTTCATCATCCTAAGGCCAGAGGCTAGGGTTTAGGGTTTAGGGTTTAGGGTTTAGGGTTTAGGGTTTAGGGTTTAGGGTTTAGGGTTTAGGGTTTAGGGTTTGGGGTCTAGGGTTCAGGCTTTAGGGTTTACGGCTTACGGTTTATCAGTTTAGGGTTCAGGGCTTGAGGTTTTTAAGTTTAGGGTTCAGGTCTAAGGGTCTACAACTCATTAAGGCTTAAGGTTTACGAGCTTAGGGTTTAGGGCTTTAGGCTTTATATGGCTTACAAGTGTATGGTTTAGGGTTTTGGGCTTTAGGCATCTGCTCCTAATCCCTGCACTTCCCTTTCCTAAAGCCTAAGGTGCAGCCTTCTAGACCAACAGAAGCTTGAAAAGGTTTAGGGTTTAGGGTTCAGGGTTTAGGGTTTAGCGTTTCGGGTATAGAGGGGGTAGGGTAGGCGGCTGAAGGTTTAGTGCAGAGCCACGCAGCCCCGTGGCCTCAATCTCACCCCTCCACCGCCCCTCTCAGGCCTCCAAACCGGAACCAAGACCATTTGCTTAAGAACCCCAACACAGGAAACATGATAATCCCTATATTACCCTTAGGAGGCCAAGTGTTTTTGTTACTTTCATTTCTTATCTTTTTTGTTGGGGGTTCTTCAGAAATTAGTAGAGAGTAACCTCAACCCCTCAGCCCCTGATCCCTAAATTGCCGAAACACCCTAAACCCTAAACCCTAAACGCTAAACCCTAAACCCTGAAACCTAAACCCTAAACCCTAAACGCTAAACCCTAAATCCTGAACCCTGAAGTCTGAACTATGAACCCTAGACCCTACTTGGCTGCCCTCAGAAGGGTGGCTATAAATCAAAATTTTTGTTGGCTTATTAAGAAACCCAATAAACCCAAAAAGGCTAAGGATCTAAAGTTACAGTAAAGCACCACAAAGCCTAAAGCCCGAAACCTGACATGGCTTCTAACCCTTATAAAACTCTCAGCCCTGGCAAGGGCCAAGCCCCAACTAAAACCCTATAACCCTGAAAGCCCAAAATGTTCGTAAGCCCGAAACTCAAAACCCTCAACCTTATGAACCCTGAAAGCCCGAAACTCTCGTAAGCCCTAAACCCCAACCCTCAACCCTAACCGTAACCCTAACCCTAAACCCTAAACCCTAAACCCTAAACCCTAAACCCTAAACCCTAAACCCTAAACCCTAAACCCTAAACCCTAAACCCTAAACCCTAAACCCTAAACCCTAAACCCTAAACCCTAAACCCTAACCTAGACTGCTACACCAAACAGCCGCCAGACGACAGGAAGGCATCCGCCAGCCCCTGGACACCCAGACCGACAGGGCGGTGCCGCATGTTCGAGTTTCTGGCTGCCTCCACCTCGGGCTCGTTTAGGGTTTAGGGTTTAGGGTTTAGGGTTTAGGGTTTAGGGTTTAGGGTTTAGGGTTTAGGGTTTAGGGTTCAGGGGGGGCTTAGGGTTTAGGAGCTTGAGGGTTCCAGGGCTTACGTGTTGAAGGGTGTAGGGTTCCGAGGTTTCGGGCTTAAAGGGTTTGGTTTAGGGTTTAGGGTTTAGGGTTTAGGGTTTAGGGTTTAGGGTTTAGGGTTTAGGGTTTAGGGTTTAGGGTTTAGGGTTTAGGGTTTAGGGTTTAGGGTTTAGGGTTTAGGGTTTAGGGTTTAGGGTTCAGGGTTCAGGGTTTAGGGTTTAGGGTTTAGGGTGTTTAGGGTTTAGGGGTTAGGGTCTAGGGTTTAGGGTTTGTCTTTTGAGGCACTAGTGGTTCGGAGATCACACTTCCAAGCTGCACCCCAAAGCCTACACTCTTGAATGTTTCCTCGTCTGGGAACCCTAAACACCTACCCCAAAGGAATTACACCCCTAAAGAACCCAAAGCTGCTTTGTTTCATCCGAGCATTTAGGGGTTTGGGGTTTAGGGCTTTAGGGGGTTAGGGGTTCGGGTTAAGGGTAGGGCCAATTGGGATTGAGAGTTCGGGGATATAACTCCGGTTTCCGAAGTTAAGTCACGACAACACGTGTCACCAGCTTGAAATAGAATACAACACCCTAGAAATCTCCTCATGGCAGTCCGACAACGGGAAAGGGACATTTCAACTGAACTTTTCGTGTCTCAGCGGCTTTCGATTTCCACCCCAAACCCCAAGCCCTAGAAAGTCATGCACGCGAACTGGTGGTTTCCAGCCAACTTTTCACGAAGGCCATCGAAATACCAACGCTGCATGGCTTTTTAGCACGTAGGGATTCAACGCTATGGTCCTTTTCGGATGTTGGGCAAAGGAAACCCAGATACTGAAACGCGACGCACAACATTGTGATGAGCACGGGATGACTTGTAAGCAATCCCCCCACCAACAAGAAGCGTTTCCTGGGTTTCTGCCGGCGAACGCAAACACTAAGTCACAAAAGCAACTTGCCATAGCATAATAAAGGACATGTGCAAACATATGTCCATATATATATATACACATATACATAAAGAAATAAATACATAAATACATAAGTAAATAAGTAAATAAGAAAATAGATAAAATACATATATATATATATATGTATAGGTAGACAGATCGATATCTGCATTCTGGTAGCTAACTTCAAGTTCCTGAGTGGCAGCCCGGCTTTTAGCATAGGAGCGGGATAGTAGTTGCGATCAATCACCTTGTTCAAGTTCTTCGTCACAACCTGGAAGTCATGCTCAGCCCATTTAGGGTTTAGGGTTTAGGGTTTAGGGTTCAGGGTTCAGGGTTTAGGGTTTAGGGTTTGGGGTTCGTTTAGGGTTTGGGGTTTTGGGCTTGTTGGAGTTCAGGATCCGAGGCTTTTCTGGAATGTCGCAGGTTGTTGTCGGGGGCTTACGATAGGCTCGGGCTGGCAACACTGTCTTGTTCCGAAGAAGAAACCTTTTTGGGGTTTAGGGTTAAGTGTTAAGGGTGTGGGTTCAGGGTTTGTAGGACATGTGCTGAAAGCAGCAACCCTAATCATGCAGGGTCCCGTTTCAAAGACGGTGGTAATGTTGGAACTGCACCCTTAGGTCTTGCAACCGTTAGCTGTTGGTAGTGGAGCCCTAAACCCTAAACCCTAAACCCTAAACCCTAAACCCTAAACCCTAAACCCTAAACCCTAAACCCTAAACCCTAAACCCTAAACCCTAAACCGTAAGTGAACGGATATCCGGGAGGATCCCTTAGCTGCGACAGGGGGACCAGAAATTCGAGACTTCGCCTTGCGAAGCCACAAACACCTTCACCCGAACACCAAGAGAATGAACGCCTGCAAGCCCTTACGCAAAACCCTACGAAAACCCTGCAGGGTTTAGGGTTTAGGGTTTAGGGTTTAGGGTTTAGGGTTTAGGGTTTAGCCTCAGACATGAGCAAATGGAACAAACAAAAAGCTAGCCAGCCGCCTTGGTCACCTCGTACAGCTTCTGGAAGTCGTAAGCCGCGCCCTTTTGAAGTGCGAGGGCGGCTCTGACACTTGGGAAAGCATAGGGGCATAGGGTTTCCGGGCGTAAACCCTAAACCCTAAACCCTAAACCCTAAACCCTAAACCCTAAACCCTAAACCCTAAACCCTAAACCACCTTGAACACCCAAAACTGCAAGGTTGGGGGCACTCCAGGGCTTCATGATGAAAAGGTACTTTGACAAAGGGCGCGAAGGTTAGGGCTTCGGGGTCCAGGGTCTAAGCATCCAGGGTTTTGGGTTTAGTAGTTTGGGTACTTAAAGGGTCTCTGCTGCCATCTCATCTTCGTGCAGTTGTTCAGTTCGGGCCATGCATCGGCAAGCACAAGTGTCCTGGATTTTGTTGCGGCGCTCTCAGATTTTTAGGGATGAGGGTTTAGGTGTTAACATTTAGGCTTAGGGTTCTAGACCAATGTGGGCCTGATCAGCTGGCCACACCCGACTTGCTCTAGCATCTCATGTAATTACACTAGACAGGCTAGAAGACGTCAAGGGTTTCTTCGTAGCTTTCCCCAGGGCCGAAGGGTTACAGTTCGAAAGTCTCACTGCAGATAACCCTGAATCTGAATTACGCCGGAAAGGATCCTTTCAACATTAGCTCAAACCTTTAACCCTTAAGCCTAAACTCCAAGCCCTAAACCCTAAACCCTAAACCCTAAACCCTAAACCCTAAACCCTAAACCCTAAACCCTAAACCCTAAACCCTAAACCCTAAACCCTAAACCCTAAACCCAAACCCCCAATCCCAAGCCCTGGAAGACGCTGCCTCTGAGCTTGCGAAGCTGGGAAGCGAGATGGAGGCAAGGTTGCACACCGCCACCTTGCTGAGGGGTTTAGGGTTTAGGGTTTAGGGTTTAGGGTTTAGGGTTTAGGGTTTAGGGTTTGGGGCTTAGGGCTTAGGGTTTAGGGTATTCTGGCCCTAAAACCAACACCTTAAACACCCTACTAGAGGGGCCTGAACAATGAGAACAGGGTTTTGGGGGTTACTATAGTATACTTGTAAGGGGCCCTAAGGGATTAGTATTAGCAATCATTCCCACCCCTGTTCTACACCCGAAAACCCAAGCTGAGGATTTTGTCCGGGCTTTCGGCCAGAAAGCGGACCCTTCCGGCCTTTCTTGCGGAGGAGCAGCTGGTGTAGTGTTTAGGTTTGGGGGTTTTGAGGGTTTAGGGTTTAGGGTTTAGAAGGGCCCTCCTTAACACTGTTGAACACTTGGGCACTTCGTCGTCCGAGGTGTACTCAATGATCTCGGTGCAAAGGTTCCTCACGAAGGGTTCCGGATGCAGAATTTCCGCTCCTACCCTGGTTCCCCCAGAACCTTAAGTGCGAAGGTCCTACATCATGTTTGGGGTCTAGGCCTTCTCAAGAGGCTTTGGTATGGAGGTTGGCCACCCTCGCTGAGCCCCAAACCCTCAACCAGCGCTCCAAACAGCTCGCGAAACAAGGACATCGTGAGGTTCTGATTCGGGTGAACGCTTCAGTTGCCACCGTTCTTAAGCCCAAAACCGGAAATTGGGTAGCTAGTTTCATCCTAAGCCCCAAGCCCGAAGCCCTAAACCCTAAACCCTAACCCCAAAAGTGAGGGCACCTTTTTTGGCCTCCTAGATTTCGGTGCCCCCCCCCCCCCCCCATGGCCTGACTGCCTTCTTTCACGCCACACCTGCCCCCCAAACCCGAAGTTTGCCTGAACTCCTACATGAATTAAGTTTAGGATTTGGGATTTAGGGTTTAGGGTTTGGGGTTTAGGTTTGCGGTCTAGGGTTTAGGGTATAGGGCACTACCCCTGCAACCAAACCCCCTTAAACGCTGCAGCCTTCTCTACTCCGGAAGAGAGTCTCAAGCTGTCGCAACACAGAGCGTGCACTGGGTTCCCTGGCAACCGAAGACCTAAACCCTAAACCCTAAACCGTAAACCCTAAACCCTAAACCCTAAACCCTAAACCCTAAACCCTAAACCCCAAGAATTGCAGGGAGCCCGTTCTGCTTGTGAAGAGTGCTGATAGGGTTTAGGTTCAGGGGATACCAACGGGAAGCAGGGGCCCCCCTGGGCATCCTAGTGTGAGACTTAAGATTTTTGGCGACAGAGGGTTTAGGGTTTAGGGTTTAGGGTTTAGGGTTTAGGGTTTGATTCGGGTGGTTCGGGTGCGGTTTAGGGTCATGAGGGCTGAGGGTTTCGGGCATAAGATTAGAGTAAATTGTCGACTCCTTTTTTGTTGGGGAGTGGAGTGGGTGGGGGGGGGGGGAACGGGGGGATTGGGCCTCTTTGTGACACATGCCCTGCAGACCAGGCTCGAGCAATGGATGGTGCCCAGGTTCTTTTGATTGGACTTCCGGTTCGCGTGGTCCTGCAGCTTTCTGTGTCAGTCACGAAGGGGGCAGAGGGGTTGAGGGGGACACTTCAAGAAGGGACCCCAGGCAGGCTCTAGGCTTAAAGTCGCAAAAAGCATGCTTGATTCTGCCAGGAGATGAGGATGTGGAACTTTGATGCCCAACAGGCGTCCGCAATTTCGCAGAACTGCTTTCGCACTCGATCCTTTTTTCTGCCATCCCCTCTCAGCCGTCATCTGTGTGGTATGCCAGCCAACCACCAGCGGCCGCGATGTAGTCTGTGAGCCCGCACGTGGCATGGATCCACCCGTAGGGTAGAAGCAGCATCTCACCAGGTCCGGTCACACAAGTCGCTGTTCCTGGCGGGGGTTTTGCTTGGCTCAGCATCGCGCAGGCGTTGGGATGCCGGAAAGCTTCGCCATTCGGCAGCAAGCTAGAGTCATAGTCAGGCGGCAGCAGCCACCACATCTTGTAGCCTTCAACTTGGACATTCCAGACGGGATCGTGGCTGTGAAAGCCATGGGAGCTTCCCAAAGCATCTATGGCTACAATGGACATGCACTCCTCCGGCCCAAAAGCAAAGTCGGGGCTTGGGGCAAACTGCGGCCGGATTGCATCCACAGACTTCTTTAGCTTGGCCTCTTCGCGGCAGCCCCCCTCGCTTGCAAACAGGAAGATGTTCTGGGAGCTTTCCTAGTTCATGGTTGGTACAATATCAAAAACTTAAATGTATATTCCCTATTCGGTTTAAGTACCCTTAAAACTTAAGAAATGAAAAAAGATACCCAACTATGTCAGATGTTCATTGTGCTTGAGGTAGTCATCCAAAGACTCCCACTGGTTCATTCGGACCAGCGATTCTGGATAGTTGAATGTGAACTTCTGCCACTGCAAGCTACCCATGTTCTTGGAAAGCTCGTCCTTTCCCCAATGTGTCGCTGCGTGCCAGCCCAACTGCTTCGGAACGTGCCCCATCACCAGCACAGGCGAATGTTCCGCCAGCAGGGAGGTGAATTCGAAGCGCAGGTCAAGGCTGGCGCCGAGCTTGTCTTTTCTGCTCAAGTTGCGGGTTTGGTCTTCCATGCCGGCCAACAGCCTGCTCCACTCGTTGTGGACCTGCCTCAACGTCATCTTCTTCACGTTCGGGCATCGTTCTTCAAGAGAAAGGCTCTGCACTTTCCGGAAGTTGAAGAACTCCGTGGCGTCGTCGCGATAGTCTCCAGTGTCAACGACCTTCGCATGGTGATGGTCATGACGATTCAGGTGGAAGGGATGCTTCCGCGCTGTCTGGGTGGATTGGCGTCGGACGCGCGCTTGCAGTAAGGCTGCATCGTCCATTGGGCTCGTGGAGGGCTGCGTGCTGCATTCGGCCCCCGGGCTGCTCTGCACCTTCTCACCAGCAGCTCTCCATACAGGTGAAAACCATGCCAAGCCAAGGGCAAACAAGAGCAGCAAAGACCTCGTCATTGCTGAAGGGATTCAGGGCACCCTTGCGCATCTTTGTTATGCATGGCCCGTGGCCCTTCTGCCGACTTCTGAACCGCAAACTCAAGCGTCCTACCAGCTCCTAGGCATGCTCTAGGTCGGTCCTAGGCAGGTTGGTAGGTGGGTAGCAGGTAGTGGGTAATGGGTAGTAGCTAATCGGTAGTAGGCTCTTATACGGGAACCCGATGCCATCAACGGCCTATACATCGAAACCCTTGCACCCTGGATCATCAACCCCCAAATCCCAAATAATCCCTTCCCCCTAATACTAAAACCCCCCCTAAATTTAAATATTATTTTTGCCGGGCCCTGCCGGCACCCAGCCCAATACTAAACCTGTTTGGGATTTAGGGGGGGAGGGGTTCAGGGCCTTCGCCCTTGAGTTGAGCCATTAGGGGTTTCGGAATTCAGGTTTTAGGATTTAGACCCCCCTTAATTTTAACTATTTTTCGGGCCCAGGCGAATTTCAGAATTAGGGGGGGGGGGGGGGGGGGGGGGGGGGGGGGGGTTTTAGTATTAGGGGGAAGGGATTACACAAGATCCCCCCTCTCCATAGCAAAATGAACTGACTGCAGAGATTCGAGGAGGCAAAAAGAAACATGTACATGTGCACATGGTTCTCATATAAAACCGTACAAACAGTACGCACGCATGATAAGCTCTACCTATGTCAATCCTTGCCTGTATCTATCTTACAACTCCCGAAAGCCCAACCTTGTACTCCCCTCCCGTAGCCCCAAGCCCAAACCCCTGAGCCTTGTAGAGCATGTAGGGGGTGCCAGTCTCCATCTGGGACTCAAGGATACGGAACCAGAGGTGCTGAGCCTCACATTGAGCTTCTTGCCGTGCACGGTCGTGCAGGGCGGGGGGGGGGGGGGGCTTCGTACGCTTTGGCCCTGCACAAAACCATGCACCCTAAGCCCTATAGCCCTACACCCTACAGTAAACCCTGCAAAGCCTAAACCCTACAAGCCCTCAGAAGCCATAGGCTCCCTGTTGCTTGCTACGTTGACCAGGGGTCCGAACCGTGACGCAAACAACCTCCGGCTCAAGTATCCTTGGGGTATTTGGGGCAGTATGAACTTTGTTGTGGCTTATGTAGGGGTTTATGAGACAAAGCTGGAGCTGTTCAGGCACCTAGCTGTGCACCCCAAAACACCCGGGCCTTCACCGTCTTTCGGCCCTTTCCTTCCTTCTCCAGGCGCGTGTACATGGCCTCGAACTCCTCACCCCAAACGTCCATGAGGCCCTTGCCCGTGGACTTGTCGAAGGCCTGGGAGCAAATGGCGTGTTTAGATCGGTTTTCAGTACAGAAATGATTGGGTCAATCAGTACCATGAATCTTGCTTGGAGGTTCATGATACTGATTGACCCAATCATTTCTGTACTGAAACCCAAATATAACAATATTGGGAGACTCAAGAGGCTTATAAGTGGGCTACTAGTACAGATATAATGTGCTAATAAGTACCATGAACCTCCAAGTAGGGCTTATAGGGGCACCGGCCTACTCAAGGGCAGAACTCCAAGCCAGTAGCCTGCACACGGCGCCCTCCCCAAATTACAACAGACCCACCCACTTGTAGAAAGCGCAATGCAGGCCTCATTTGGGCAGAAGAGGGTCCAGTCTTGGTTCTCCTGCAGGTCGTGGAGTTGGAGTGCTGCAACTCCCTCCCCATTGGGGTTTCGGGATTAGGGTTTAGGGTTTAGGGCCTAGCATACTTACACCCCTCCCCCCCCTAAAGAAACAACAAACTTACAAGATGTTGGCTTCTGCAGGGAACTTAAAGTTTGCGGCAAAGGGGCCTTCTGGGGCATTTTTGGGGGAGGTTTGCTTATTGACGAGAGGTGCATAGAGGTTCCGTACCTGGACGGCCCCTGGGAGGCTGATCCCATGTTCTTCTGTGCTTGGGATTTGGAATTGCGCCCGTTTACCTGGACCCTCAACTCTAGGTTCGTTTTCACTACAACTCGGGATCCAGGCAGCTTAGGTAGGGGGTGGGGGGGGGGGGGGGAAGGGACCTGTTGGGAACCCTAAACCCTAAACCCTAATGCCTAAACCCCAAACCCCAAACCCTAAACCCTAAACCCGGCGTTCGTAGCAACCCTAAAACCCTACACCCCGACCATTTCGATTTCGGGGCTCTGAGTCGCTGTCTCCTTGAAACCCTAAACCCTAAACCCTAAACCCTAAACCCTAAACCCTAAACCCTTGGAGTGTCTCCTTCACCCGCTTCATGAAGAGGTCTGGGATCCAAAGGCCGTAGAAGAGATCGCGGGCGCGCTGCTCTTCTTTCCCGTGGTTCCTGGGGTTTAGGGTTTAGGGTTCAGGGTTCAGGGTTTAGGGTTAGGGTTTCGGGTTTAGGGTTTAGGGTTTAGGGTTTAGGGGTTTAGGGGTTTAGGGGTTTAGGGGTTTAGGGGTTTAGGGGTTTAGGGGTTTAGGGTTTAGGGTTTAGGGTTTAGGGGCGCGGGCTGGAGGATCTAGTTGGGGTTCCTGGGTGCCCCCGATATCCACACGACGGGCTAGGGCTCAGGGATTCTGGCCCCTAAACCCCAAACCCTAAACCCTAAACCCTAAACCCTAAACCCTAAATTGGCCCAGCCACTTCCGAAGCTCGAGGAAGTCCATAACATCCGCGTGCCAAGGCTCCAGGTACATGGCGAAGGATCCCTTCCTCACGCTTCGGATAGTTTAGGGCCCTAAACCCTAAAGTTTAGGGTTTAGGGTTTAGGGTTGAGGGTTGAGGGTAACAAGCCACACCTACTGTGTTGTAGGCTCTGTTTATGAAGCCCATTCGCAGGTTCCCTACACAAAAACAGGTTTGGGGCTCCTATAAGGTAGGACTTAAGCGGAGGTAAGAGATTTTGAAGGGTGTGAATAGTTCCGTACCTGCGAGTTTAGGGGTCAGGGTTGAGGATTTCGGGGTGTGGGATGCTTTGAGGGGTTTCAGGGCTTTCTGGGGTTCGGGGCACTTTTCGGTTGAAGGCTTTGTGTTTGTGTCGTGGGTTTCATTGCGCTCGTTGAGTTCTGGACTGCATAGGCACGCTCATGCCCTCCAGGGTTTATACGGCTTGATGTCTGTTCTCGGTTGCATTGGACCTCGCTGTTCCTGACGTTGCTGTGCAGGTACCGCATGTTCAGCATGTTGCCACTCTAAAAAATCACGCCTGCATTCGCAAGCTCAGTTATTCACTCTGTTCTCACCGCATTATAGTGTTAGTAATCTCTTCATAATGGAGGTCTTACGGCGTTCGCTCTATATCTTACATCTCCTTTTAAAGGTAAATGGTGTAAAAGAGTGAGAAAGAAGTAAGTGAAGGATTGTATGAGGTTAAGGGCCCATTTACTATCCTATTATGGGGGCCCTTGTAACTTTTTTGTTATGTTCCCGGGGCTCATTTTTCTATTCTTTATTATTGCCGCGGTATTATAGTACTATTCAGAGTTACAATCACGCATTCATTCACTAATTTCGCGCGTCTTTTTCTCATTCTTCGTTCATTCCTTGCAAATTTGTTCTTTCACTACGCTCTTTGTACTGCTATTTCCATGTCCAGTAAACTCGTGAATCATTTCCCCCGTTCGTTCATACTATTCTTCAATTACGTTTCACGCATTCGTAAACTACTTTACAAACGTACGAATATTATTCTCATCACTTCATATCCTTGTGTATTCATTTCGTTCATTCCCGGGCGGCTCTATTATCATTATTATTAATATTATCGCCCGGACGAACAGTATAGTTTAATAATATTTCACACGCCCATAAAAGAATGTTATAAAAAAAAAGGGGCGTGAATAGATTTGTTTCGTACACTTCGTTCATACTATTTTGCACATCACTCACGCGGTTCCTTGTAATGCTTTGCAAAAAGGTATTCTCTTCGTACTCTCTTCTAATAATACTCGCGGGCTAACATAATAAATATACTATTTGCCCGCGGATATAATATCCACAATGCTAGCGAGCCAATAGAATACAATAAGTGAACGGCTCACGCATACAATTATATTGTTACAATCAAGAGCCCCTGAACATACTTTAACGGGGCTCACTATATTATATCTTATCACCACTAGAACACCCAATAATAACAATCATAATAATAATAGTAGTACTAAAAGGCCCACTAAAAAGAAGTAAATACAAGGGCCTTTAATTAGTATTCTTAATGGCACCTTTCTTCGCTTGGTTTTCATGCATTTAACTCCTTATCAAGCCAATCTCATACAGACAGCTTACGACATCTCCCTCAACTACCAGGATTCTTTGTTGCCTTTAGAATTCTCTCCAAGGTGTACTATTAAAGTATTAGGTGAATGGAATGAATGTATTAACGCGCATCGTGGCGGAAGGCAAGCTTCGTTTTCGGGAGATCCTGCTGCTGACTGGCAAACACCACTAAACCCTAAGCCTTTATTTGGCCCCAACCCCCTAAACCCTAAACCCAAAACCTTGAACCCTCTAAACCCTAAACTCTGAACCCTGAACCCTGAACCCCAAAGCCCAAACCCTACATGCTGTTAAGATGCCTCTTGCCGCCACCCTGATCCACATATCGGGCCGTCTCGTTGAAGTTCCTCCAAGGACTTTAAGGGTTTCGAAGCTCTAGCTCGGACTATAACTCACAGCCCAACTTTTTGGGAGACTACTTACATCCAGAATCCTATAAGGTGTTCTGCCCGAGGAACCTACAAAAACATGGCAGGCACGGGGCTCTTACAGTAATTAGGACCTTTTAATGAGGGTGTTTGGGCGGGTTTGGTTTGGGGTTGCGAACTTGGGGATGACGGTTGTTCGGGTCTTTGCAGAATGGAAAACATCAACAATACCAGCCTCAAAGCCTCTGACGCCACAGGAAAGTAAATGCTTTCTATTTCAAGTATCGCAAACGAGGTTTAGACGCAACCACTGTATACACACCAGCAAGACAGAATACTTTGGTGCTTAACATTTGAGAAACTGGGGGCTTGGTGCAACAACAAGTCATCTTCGGCCCCCCTCCGGCAGGCAGGGAACTTCTTGCAAAGGTGGGGGATGGTCTCGCACGGCTTGGACGCTAGTCTTGCAATCCACGAGGTTGGAAGGCATTGGGTGGTTCCGGCAGCATGCAGTCCGAAACGCTAAATGGCCACTTCGCTAAGTTCTGGTCCCTTTTTGGGTTACCGGGTTACCAGGATGAGTCGGCCCCTTTTTTGCTTGCGGCACCCAACAAAGGACAATAATTTTGGAAAACTCAAATCTTAAATTGAACCACCGACGGAACACAACAGCAAAACAAGTGACAATAAACCCTGAACCCAGAAACGCACCCTAAACCCCAAACCCCAAACCCTAAACCCTAAACCCTAAACCCGAAACCCTAAACCCTAAAACCCTAAACCCTAACCCCCCCCGCCCCTTCCCCCTCACCCTCCCTCCCTCGGTCCGCAGCATGGGGACCAGGCCATTGCTGTGACCGTTGGTGCCCCGGATGTAGGAGCCGCTGGCCCGGATGTTGGAGATGGCCACGCCTTCGGGGGGAGGGGGGGTTTAGGGTTTAGGGTTAGGGGGGGTTAGGGGGGTTTAGGGGGGTTTAGGGGGTTTAGGGGGTTTAGGGGGTTTAGGGGGTTTAGGGGGTTTAGGGGGTTTAGGGGGGTTAGGGGGTTTAGGGGGTTTAAGGGGTTTAGGGGGTTTAGGGGGTTTAGGGGGTTTAGGGGGTTTAGGGGGTTAGGGGGTTTAGGGGGTTTAGGGGGTTTAGGGGGTTTAGGGGGTTTAGGGGGTTTAGGGGGTTTAGGGGGTTTAGGGGGTTTAGGGGGTTTAGGGGATAGGGTTAGGGTTTGGGGATCAGAGATTAGGGTTTGGGGTTCAGGGCTCGGGACTAAGTAGAATCTAGCGGAAGGGTCCCTGCTGAAACCCTGAAGAAGGATACTACTGGTCAGACTGAAGGCTTGTACCCTTAGCCCTAAACCCTTAACCCTAAACCCCAAACCCTTCCAGCTTTTGCACCCTACGTGCATAAGCCAGGCTTCACAGCCTCAGGGCTCAGAGTCCGGGGGTAAGGACCCTATACCCTAAGCCTTTCGCACTTCAGGGAACCACAGACACCCCTCGACAAGCACGATGTAGGACCCAAACCAAGCAAACCCCGAACCCGATAAAACTGCCAGAGCCTTTGGCAACTCTAAATCCCAAAGCCCCAAAGCTTGGCAACCCTCAGCCTGTTGCCGCCCTGAACCCTATAAACCCTCAGCCGGAAAAGCAGGCGAGGCTCCAATGCCACCGGCGGATTTGGAAATCAGAGCGCACTGTTTCCTCAGATGGTTGGGGTTCGGGGCTTAGGGTTTGGGGTTCAGGGTTTAGGGTTCAGAGTTTAGGGTTTAGGGCTTAGGGTTGATAAGCGTGCAAAGATCGGATCCCCCAGGTAGAAACCGCATGAACCTGGAAGCCTAAACCCTGGACTCCTTCTTCACACACCACCCACGACTCCACAACAACCGACACATCACCGCCGAATCCAAGAGTCAGGGTGTCATAGATGCCTTCGATGCTGTCGCCCTGCATCTTCAGCAAGAAGCACCTTCACTGAACTTGGAACCCTAGCAAAGATTGTCAGTTTCGCTGTTGCCTAGGAATTGTAATGCCAAAAATATATTTTATTCCCAAGTGCCCCTAAGGCACGAGGACATCTGTGGTGCTGGCGTACCGGCGTTGAACCTGGCTTCATGGGTTCCCCCCCCCCCCCCCATCCCCCGTAACTAAGGCTATTTAGGCACAATTAAGCCTAATTAAGCTTATTTACGGCTTCGAGACCACATGACAGGTTTGGCCATTGAGGGCTTGGAACTTTGGATGTTGGATTCAACTCTATTCAAACCTAAAGTCATCTTGCCGTCTACAGCGATTAAACAACCCTGAACCCTGAACCCTAAGCCCTAAACCCTAAACCCCAAGCCCTCGCTCCTAAACCCAACCACTATCTGAGCCTAGATCGGCTCCATGTAGGACATTGACAAAGACTGAACATGCTCAAAGCACATGTCCCACCACGGCATCTTACCTGCAGTTCTTGGCCCCACCTCAACTCGTTGTGTAGGCCATGATTGGAATACTTTCGGGGTCCTCAACTTTCACAACCCACCTTGGAGAGGACGACCTCTACGTCAAAAAGACGTCACACACACGCACGGCCGACAGAGTTGAGAGGCTTTCGGGGGTGTTGGGTTTACAAACTTTCTTTTGGTGTTAAGCGTTTTAAGGCACTTGCACGGCCTAGTGTTTAGGGGGGTTGACAGTGTTCCGATGCCTGGAACCCACCGAGAGGGGTCTAGGGGGCTTTCAAATGGGGTAGCCTTTTTTGAGCTTCCTAAACGAAGGGACGCCACTGTTTGGTGTATATTAAATACTAGGGCGTGCCCCAGTTTTGGGTTAACCATTTAGAAGCCAAGCTCTAAACCAACATCTCTATCACCTGTGAAACCCTGTGTTAGCCCGTAAACCTAAATAATCCCCTGCACCCCAAACCCGCCTAGACAAGGACAGTACCCCAAACCCTAAACACAATAAACCCTAAACCCCAAACCCTAAACCCCAAACCCCAAACCCTAAACCCCAAACCCGAAACCCGAAACCCCAAACCCAAACCATAAACCCCAAACCCTTAACCCCAAACCCTAAACCCCAAACCCTAAACACCAAACCCTAAACACCAAACCCTAAACCCCAACCACCCTTAACCCCAAACCCCAACCCCAACCCCAAACCACAAACCCCAAACAATAAACCCCAAACCCAGACCCCAAACCCGAAACCCCAAACCCTAATTAAACCCGAAACCCCAAACCCCAAACCCTAAACCCCAAACCCTAAACCCTAAACCCCAAACCCCCCTAAACCCTAAACCCTGAACCCCAAACCACCCTTAACCCCAAACCCGAAACCCTAAATCAACGAGCACAGTCGGGCAGAGTCGGCGTCGCATGGGTGAAGAACTTCCTTGACATCAGGTCGTACGTCTCCAAGGCTGCCTTTTCACCATGGCCGGGCTTGGGGGGTTTAGGGTTTAGGGTTTAGGGTTTAGGGTTTCGGGTTTAGGGTTTAGGGTTTCGGGTTTAGGGTGACCCAGGAGGAACCTAGGAATAAAACAGGGGTGCCCCGTTGTTGGTTTCAAAGAGGTTTTGGAAGGGAACCTAACCCCCCCCCCCCCCCCCAAAAAAAAAAAAAAAAAAAAAAAAAAATGAAACAGGGGCCTGCTCTGGTTTATAGGGTTGCGCGAGTCCAGCCCAAACCCTGAAGTCTGGAAACTCAGTCTGGAAACTCGATAGACCCTGAAGCCCATATGAACCCCAGACCTTAACGAACCTTGGGTGTTACCCTAAACCCTAATCCCTAAACCCGAAACCCCAAGCCCTAAACCCTAAACCTGTCTTTGGGGCTTCAATCACAAGACCAAACTGCCTCAAACCCAAAGGGCATTCGGGCTCAGGTCCCGGGCCCAATGGGTTCGAAGCTCTCTGTCAACGATGTAGGGGGTTTAGGGTTTAGGGTTTAGGGTTTAGGGTTTAGGGTTTAGGTTTTAGGGTTTAGGGTTTAGGGTTTAGGGTTTAGGGTTTGTGGTTCCGGTTTGGGGTTTGGGGTTTTCAGGTTTAGGGTTAGGGCTCCGGGTTTCTGGGTCTCAAATTGGGGGTTTGCGGTTGTAGGGCCTTTGGGGGGTTATTTGGATTTACGGACTTTACAGGTAAGGAGTCAAGGTTTTTGGGCTCTCGTGTTTTTGCTCCAAGTTCTTGCTGAGATTCGTATGTGAAGGCAGGCTTGATTCAGGTAGGGTCGGTCGTTCCAAGCTCGATGCATGGCATCCACTTGTAAAGTGTACCTACAATCAAGGAGGGTCCCTAAATGACAGCACCCCCCCCCCCCCCCCCCCCCCATCCGCTGAGAGTCGTGTGCGAGACCAACTAACAATTCGATCTATTTTGGTTCGGGGTGTAGGAGAAAAGGGGTTTGACATGTCACTCGCTCAGCCCAGCCAAGCGCCCAGGAGAAGTAAAGGAAGCTGTGGGACTGCCAAGATTCCAAAATCGATCCCGCACCCCCCCCCCTCCACTCAACTTCTAAACCTCAAGCCCTAAGCACCAAAGATTTGAGCCACAAGCCCCTGTAAACCCTAAACCCTAAGCTCACAACCCTACGAGCACTAAGCAGCTTCCGTCTTATGACACACGCAGGGGCCCAAAAAACAAATTCTACAAACAGGGTTTTTCCAGAATGCCCCTTCATAGGGGCCCTTCAGTAAGTAGGATCCTTACGTTTATGTGGCTACTGGCCCCCCAAACAAGGGCTGCAGGGCCTGCAGGTCTCCGCAGTGGATGCCGCAGGCCGCGCGCATGATGAGGTGCTGCGGGCGCTCCACTATCTTGTTGTGGACCCTGAGCAGGTATGACCCTCAACCCTAAACCCTAAACCCTAAACCAAAACCCACAACCCTAAACCCTGAATCCTAATTATAAGGCTTAGAACAGTTAAGTTTCTTACTTCAGGGGTTTTGAGTCTTGTGTTTGTTTGGGTTTCGGGTTTATAAGGTGCGCGCAAGAAATTGAGCGAGCCAGGGCTCTTCATTGCAGCTGCAAGGATACGATGCCTTAGCTTCTGAATCCCCCTTAACCTGTAAATGGCCTTAGTAACTACGATTTCCTTAAGAACCACCCAAAATCTATAACAGAATCATCCCTATACTACCCTTATAAGGAAGATGGTTTTGATTCTTTTCGGGGGTTCTTAAGCAAGTCGTAAGTAGGCTTGCAGAATTAGGAGACAGGGCTCTCGGGGTTTACAAGTCGAATGTTTCAACCTGGGATCCAAGGTGCGCTTCTTCCAAGCAGGTGGTGCCCCAAAGTTCTGGACCCTAAACCCTAAACCCTAAACCCTAAATCCTGAACCCTAAACCCTAAACCCTAAACCCTAAACCCTAAACCCTAAACCCTAAACCCTAAACCCTAAACCCTAATGTGATTGATGTGGGTACTTGGGATGCCCGGGTGCGGCATCATCAACAATCGTCCCCTATACTCCCTAAACCCAGAAACTCTAGGACCCTAAAACCCCTAAACCCCAGAAAGCCCCGTATGTACCCAAAGTTTCGGGTGTAGGGCCTATGACCCATAGATCCTAAACCCTGAACGCTGTCTAAACGCAACGCAAGGCACAAATAGCCTCCCGAGTCGAAACCGTCTCTCGCAATCAGTCCTAGAACTAGTTTAGGGTTTGGGGTTTGGGTTTTGGGTTTAGGGTTTAAGGTTTAGGGTTTAGGGGGAAGGAGCAAAGTTTGCTGCAGTCCAGGTGGGGAATAAGGCTCAGAATTCAGGTTTAGGGGTCTTGGAGTTTCGGGTACCCTGAAAAAAAAGGCGATACTGCCTCAGTAAGTAAGACTTCTCCAGCGTTTTGAAGCCGAAATAGTCCTGGGCTCTGGATGGAGGGCGTACATAAACCCTAAACCTTAAACCCTCATCTATATGGGCGTTCTGGTTCAGTCGACCCAAAGCCTTACCAAACCTCCCCTGGAAACAAACTCGAAGCCCTCAAGCCCCGACACTAAACTCGAGACCCTGAATGTAAACCATCATCCCTGGCCTCTAAACCCTGAAAATTCCCATTTCCCCAAAACCCTAAACCCTAAACCCTAAACCCTAAACCCTAAACCCTAAACCCTAAACCCTAAACCCTAAACCTAAGAGCCACAGAGCCCGAAACCCTGTAAAAACCCTTAAGTCCCCAGACCCCAATAGACCCTGCATCCCTAAAGCCCACAGTCCCAGTCTTGTTTCTGACGACCCCGGTCGAACAGGGTTGAGGGTTGAGGGTTTAGGGTTTAGGGTTTAGGGTTTAGGGGTTTAGGGGTTTAGGGGTTTAGGGGTTTAGGGGTTTAGGGGTTTAGGGGTTTAGGGTTTAGGGTTTAGGGTTTCGAGATCTTGAACCCTATATGCGCGAGCATGCACGCGCCCCCACCCCCTTCTCCCAAACCCCCCTGGTGGGTTTAGGGTTCAGGGTTTAGGGGTACCTTTTTCCCACCCCATGGTTCATGTTTAGGGTTTCCTTGCGTTTCGTGCTGGGTTTATTGTGAAGAGTTAAGGGTCAGGGTTTAGGGCGTGCTATGGGGGGGCCGAGAACCGAACCCAGAGAAGTTCCATGACCTGGATCCCTTCTACCAAGCATTGTATCGACCTCACCAACGACCAAATGTAGATCTAAGCCCTAAACCCTAAACCCAAACAAAACCATCAACCCTAAACCCTAAACTTTGGCCCTAAACCCTAAACCAATCCCCCTCCCCCCCAACCCCTCCCGCCGACCGCTCACTGCACGTGGGGCGCGTAGCCGAGGTCCCGCGTGTAGTCCACGGCCTGGTCCAAAGCCTCTGCATTCCTCAGCTGTTGAGGAAGGCACCCTGAACCCTGTTCAGGGTTTCGGGTTTAGGGTTAGGGTCACAAGCCCTAAACTCTAAACCATAAACCCTAAACCCTGAACCCTGAACCCCAAGCCCTGAACGAGAGGGTTTAAGGATGAGGTCAAGCCTAGGCCCATAACCCTAAACCCTATGCCCTAAACCCTAAACCTCGGGGTTTGGGCTTGGGGTTGGTGGTCGGGGTGTTCGCGGAGCTTGGGGTACGGGGTTTGGGGCATCTCGCCGTGCGGCGGCATGAAGCTGCGCATTCGTGTGCTTGGATTGTCCGGTGTGTTGGCACCCTACCTGCGGCCGAAGCAGGCCGGGTGAAGTGTAACCACCTAAGCCCTATAGCCCTAAACCCTAAACCCTCGACCCTAAACCCTAAACCTTGGGCCAAGTGTCTCTGCGATGAACTCCCACACATCTTCGGCCAGGAGAGATGCGGGCCTGCCCTGCTGGTCGCGATACCTTAGAGGGTTGAGGGTTGAGGGTTTAGGGTTTAGGGATGTTTCTGGGCCGGTGTGGGGGCTTCTGAGTGGGGCTGAGGAGGTTTGGGGGGAGCCTGGGGGCTTTCGGGGGTTTTGAGCTTGAACTCGGTTTAGGGTGTTAGGGTGTTGGGGTGCTCGGGTTTTAAGGTTTAGGGCCAGGCAGGCGTGGAGCTCGTGCAGAATCTTGCAGGTCTCGTAGAATGAAGCCGAGGTGTTCTTGTGCCTCAACAGCACAGCAAGCTGCAGCCATCAGAACGCTTTGGGCTTCGGCTGAGGCAGGGTTTGGGCTGACCGGAAGGCTCCAATGTAGTTGCTGTTGGGGGGTAGTTATAGGGGATACTAGAATACTAGATGCTAGTATACCCTGAACCCTAAACCCTAAACCCTAAACCCTAAACCCTAAACCCTAAACCCTCAAAAAGATACTACATAGGAGCCTTTAGGTAATAGTGTCCAGGAGTCAGGGAGTTGCTCTGAACACTTTAACCCCATGGGAGTCTGTGGAGTACCTGAAACGATCCTGTGTGATGGCTGGGTGTGCAAAACAGGCTTTTGGGTTTAGGGTTTAGGGTTTAGGGTTTAGGGGTTATGGTCTAGGGTTCAGGATTTGGGTCGTAGTAGTCTAGGGTTTAGGGTTTAGGGCTTAGTGTTTAGAGTTTAGGGTAGCTTAGTAGAAAGCTGGCGAAGACAAAACATTGGGTTGCTGGAACACTGGGAGATTTGGCTATCTAGAGGTCTGGCAAATTTCGTGCTTGAAAACAGTGCATCCGTCTGGGAAATGTCGCTGAAGATTGCGAGCTGTTGTGTTTTTTCTTTTTGTTTTTTTAGGGGGGGGGGGGGAGCTCTACACCCTACACCCTGAAGTTAGGAAATATAAGGTTTAGGGTTATTGGGGCAGGGGCGCCCGTCGGCTTTACTTTGCGGACATCGGTGGCGCTCCAGGGGCGTTTTGACAATACCTCATTTGCCGATCCCCAAACCGTACGACCCCAATTGTGGTGTAATGTAATGGGGAAGTTCTAAACAGACCTCTTGCAAGACTAGAATCCAAATGCCCCTAAACAAACCCAAAATTGTAAATCTAAACTCCAAACTGTAAACCCTAACCTCCAAACCGTAAACCCTAGACCCTAAGCCCACACCCTGAACCCCAACCCTGAACCCGAAACAAGCCCGAAATTGTGTTCCAGGGGTCAAGTTCGAGATGGCAATGCGCGCCGCGAGCACCGAGAAGTCCGGATGCTTCTGAGACATGTAAGCGCACGTCTCCTTTGCGTTTGCGTCGAAACCCTACCCCTGAAACCAGAAATTTAAACGTTTCCTTCTAGCATTGTGTGTAGGGTTCAGGGTTTAGGGTTTAGGGTTTCGGGGTTCGTGAGGCTACCAGACCCACCAGTTCTCTTAGAACGTTGCAAATCAGGAGGACTTAGGGTTTAGGGTTTAGGGGTTTCGGGTCCATTGAAACAAGCAGTTGCTTATCCTCCCTTCGCCTTATCGCCTGCGTAAGTGCTAGGCGGCCCCGGCTGCAAATCGACACCAGGTAGCCTTGGACCCCCTCTACATGGTTGTCTAGGAGCAGGTCCTGCGGCACATTTCCAGGGGTTTCGGGTTTAGGGTTTAGGGTTTAGGGTTTCCCTTTTGTAACTTCAAGATCTGCGTGGAGATAGGGGGCTTCCTTTGATTCTGATCAAAGAGGGCCCAAACCAAGTTTTGTACACCTCAGAACCTGGCTCCAGAAGCCATCCTGAGGTTGACGATCTTCCCTTAAGCTTAGCCCCTAAACCCTAAACCCTAAACCCTAAACCCTAAACCCCAAACCCCAAACCCTAAACCCCAAACCCTCACCGATGCAACCTGAACCTTAAACCTCTACCTCTGCTGCAGGTCTCCGCTGCGAGGGTGTCCACCTCCGCGGTGGAAATCCCCGGGAAGAAGCCTTCGATGACCTTGCGGTTCTTAGGGCTTAGGTTTCCCTAAACCCTAAACCCTAAACCCTAAGCCACTTTCGGGTTTAGGGTGGGGGGGAGCTCTCCTCCCAAGGTCCCGAGACCTACGTGACATGCGCGTTAAGCAGACCACCAATCGTCAGGCTTCAAGCCCTTGCTCAGACTCCAGACCACAAAGCCTGTTGAACCGCCACTCTGCTGAAAAACTCAAACTGCCATAAATCCTAAGAACCCTAAAACCCCCGAACCCTAAACCCTGAACCCTGAACCCTAAACTCTAAGAACCCCTGAACCCTAAGCACAAGCCCTACGCCCTGAAAGCCTCACACCCGGGCCCCTTCGTGGAGCCTTCTGGGTGACCATGACAGGGTCGATGTACTTGCTATCCAAGCCTCCGAGTCCAGGATCGGTTGCTTCGGGGTTTTAGGGATCAGGGCTTCAGGGTGCGCAGACGTAGGTTAGGGTTTAGGGTTTAGGGTTTAGGGTTTAGGGGAGTCAGTAGGCTCTTCCACATAATCCCTTCCCCCCTTTTATTCAATGGACCCCGAATGATAAGAACACTTTCCGGAAAATCCTGCCGAAACCAACCCTGCCTTTAAAACCCTATTCCGAATTAGGGGGGGGGGGGGGGTTCAGGCCTCCAAGAAACCCCTCAACACCAATAAAACCCTCAGAGGGTTACTTAAGTTGCTTTCTTGAGTAACCCTGAAGTCTAATGAATTATGACATTTCGATAAGGAAAACCCCCTAATTATAAAGACCGTTTTCGAATTTGTAAAGGGGGGGGGTGGCCCCCCCGTTTTATATTAGGGGGAAGGGATTACAGGGCTTGATCTCAATCATCCGCCCTGCTTCGGGCTTCTCTGTTTGTATAGTTGCAACCGCAAGAATGCTACAAACAAAGTCTCGAAGCCAATGCTGCTGATCACCGTACTTGTCCGAAAAATCCGAGCCTAATCCTGAAACCTAAGCCCCACTCTAGACCCAAGCATCGGAAGTAGTAAGGTCAGGGGATGTCCTGCTGCGGCCTTCGCATAGAGGCTGCAGCCGCTGAGTAATTGCGTCGAACTTCACATCCTGCTTCTCCCCGCTTCCTGAAAAAGTCCCACAGCTGGAGGAACAACCTACCCCGAATTCTGGGAGTGGAGCACGTGGGCATCTAAAGCTGGATGTAAGGCTCTCGCGCCTTACTAAATGTGGGCCTTCATGCTTAGAATAGGGTTTGGGCGGCGGGGGGGGGGGGGGGGTTATTGTAGTATCCTTTTGAAGGGCCCTAAGGGAATGCTAATTCGTACTTATTCCCTTTTATGATGCTGACAGGTGGCGCTTCAACACAAACATCTGCGATGCCATGGCGTGTAGCGCACGGAGAGGGGCGATGTCGGAGGGGCGGATGCTTCTGAGGGCCTTTTGCTGGCACAAACGGCCGAGGTGTCAGGTGCAAGAGGCGTCAGGCGCAAACCCTTTATTTACGAGCTAAGGATTCGGGGGTTCAGGGTTCAAACTTTAGGGTTTTCGGCTGAGGGTGAAGGAGTTTCTGAGCCGGAAGCCCTAAACCCTGAACCCTGAAACCTTCAAGCCTCAAGCTGGAGACTCAGACCTGCGACTCCGCGTAAAGGCCTCAAGCAACGAGCTTTTCGGGTGAACGGAGACCGTCCCGAGGCAAACTTTAAACCCTAAACCCAAAACCCTACAACCCTACAATCATCCGAAACCCCGAATCAAAAAAAGCCCGAACTAAGCCTCGAACCCTAAACCCCAGACCCCAAACCCGAAACCCTAAACCCAAGACCGCAAACCTGACTCTCCAGGGCTCGTGCCCAAAGTGGCCACGGTGGCGGAGTGGCCGTCGCCGCCCAGAGCAATGGAGCTTGGCACACCCAAAGCGGGCCTCTAAGGCTCAGAGGGTTTAGGGGTTAGTGTTAGCAGCTTCAGTAGGGGTTAACCCCTAAGCCCTAAGCCCTAAGCCCTAAGCCCTAAACCCTAAACCCTAAACCCTAAACCCTAGCGTGTACAGGGTTGAGAGTTTGGGGTTGAGGGTTTAGAATAAGACTTCAGGGTCCCTCCAGAAGGCTCAGGGCTGAGGGTGGGTTGAGGATTCTAGAGGTTTTCGTCTGTCTGCGGCCCCAAAGGACTTTTCTAGCCTGGGCCCTGAACCAGGAAAATTAGCCCCCCAAACCCTAAACCCCACAACCCCTAAATCTCAAGTCCTAAGCCCTTAGCCAAAAGTAAGCCCTAAGCCCGAAGCCCTAAACCCTAAACCCTAAACCCTAAACCCTAAACCCTAAACCCTAAACCCAAAACCCTAAACCCTAAACCCTAAACCGACCTAAACCCCAAGCCCTCGGCTTCGGAGCCTGGAGGATGATTGCTTAAGACGCATCTCGAGTGGCCCTTGGAACCCAAGGGTATAAGGAGGGACCCCCTAGAAAACACCCTTTCCCCTGTGTAACCCCCCTATATAACCATTATATATATATATATAACATGTGTATATATATATATATGTGTATGTATATATATTGTGAAGTCGACCAGCACTGGACTTGCACTAAGCCAATGCAATCACAGCCCGGTCACGCTGTTTTACGACTTCGTGAGTCCAAGCACTTGTGCAGCTACGCCTGAGTGCGTCCGGTCGGACCGCACAGCAACCTAGGAGCTACTGTACGACTCTACCGTGCTCAAAGGCACAAGCTCGGTACTTGAGCCAAAATATTGGCATTGATACGAATTGCAAATCTACACATGCAAAGGAAAACTACAGTACTGGTTCTGGCAGCTCTGCACATGGAACGTGCGTGCTTAGACCTGCTCACATTCGCCCCTCAGCCGAGGCTTCCAGCTCATCTCGAGCTCGGAGTGCAGCAGGCACTCGCGCTGAACACAGAAAGGGAAGGGCGAGGGTGTCGCGTGCGACCATGGTGGTCCGCACATCATGAGCATTGGCATGCGGCAGGGACGCTAGCCCGCACCACCACAACGAACGCACGACGACAGCAACCCTCAGCAGCCCTTAACCACCCTTTCCCAGGAGGTCCTCACCCTTTTGCTGGTGGGCGAGGCTCTTGAATCCTCGAGCTGGTCTCTAGCTGCCAGTACGCAGACTAGGGTACAAACTATGGTACACTGTACACTTCCGGTCCTAAGCTACGGCTACGGCTACTCACCTATCTGGAACTACCCTACGGGCTACCGGACTCAGCGAGAGCCGCGCACATGGCTTGTGCCGCAGGCAATGCAGCTCACACGCGCTTCGGCGAGCGCATTGCCGCGACCAGGACACGGTCCGCAGCACCTGCAAAAGAGCACCCTCAGCACGAGGGGCCACAGGCAGGGCGGAGGAGAAAGGTGCGGGGAATGCAAAATGGGCAGGTTTCCAACCTGCCGCGGCTTTTCGCCCGCAGTCAAGCAAAAGAAAATGCAAAAGGTTGGCGAAGCAACGTGCCGTGCTGCAACGCCTGCTCTGATAATGCGTGGATGCATACCACGCCGCGCCGACTGGCCGCAGCCTACTCGATACCCTGTGGAGCAGTGTTGGGGGCACGAGTGGCGTTGCCAGCAACGTTGGAGCTACTGGCTCGCTCCAACTGAGGGCGCCTTGCGACCGCCTCATCGAGGGAGAATGCCTCAGCCGACACCCTCTGGAAATCCTCGATGTAGGACTGCGCGACCGGGTGCGTCTTGGCGACCTCAAGCCTAAGCCCTGCCTCCGCATTGGCTTTGCTGCTTGTGGTAAAATTGAGGCTCCCAATCAGCACCACCGCGCCATCAGGCCGCAGTAGGCAAAGGGCCTTGGCATGGTGAAGCCCTTGGATACCGGTACCTACTTTAGCCCCGCGGCCGTCGCGAGCATAGGCGTCGCGCACGGATGTGCCGCAACCCACCTTCACCTCGGCGCCTGCAGCCGCCAAGCGTTTCAACGCTTGCCACTGCAGTTTGGTGCGGTGGCATTGTCCCATGTCGGCGACAATCCGAACGCCTGCGCCCTTGCTAAGCGACGCTTCGATTGCCTCGATGCAGGATGGGCAATCTAAGCTGTACGCCCGGATGTAGATCACATCCTCTGCTGCTCCAGACCCAAGCAGCGTTTGGGCGGCCTGAACGTATGGCCCGCCCGCAAGGAATTCCGCTTCTTTGACTGGAGAACTCCTAGCGGGGACTGGGCCCTTGTTCCTCCGGCTGGGTGTGCGCGCCACAGTGGCAGTGGCGGCACGTTGCACGAAGCCGGACTGTGCGTGGGCTGCGCTCGCTCCATCTGCTGGGGCCGCGGCCAGGTCACGACCCGCGAGCCCCTGAAAGCAGGAGAGCCCGCGGCTCTTGGCCGCAAGTTGGGAGAAGCATCCTTCACTGTTCCCCAAACCCAACACAACCTTACCCTTAGCTAGGGCTTCGGAGGCGGTACTCCGAATGGAGTCTGTGAGCGCAGAACCCGCGCCTCGCTGGGCCGCGTGCAAAAACCCTAGGGATCGAGCGGTGTCCATTGCGGCATCGCAGTGCCCGCAACGTCCCTCTGCTAGGTAAGCACGACAGCCACAGGCAGCTGTCTCCTCCTTGAGGTGCACCCAAACTTTATGGGTCACCCCTTTCTTAGTGCTCGCGACCTCAAACGTCGCTTCAGAGCCAAGGAGTTGAGACAGCCGCGCCTCAGGGGCCGCGGTGTTGCCATGTCGCAGATGCGCAATGCGATTGGCAACGGCACGACTCACGTACCACAGAACAGCGCTGCACAAGATCACTACTACCAGAGTGATGGCTGTTCCGGCGACCCACACGGTCCGCCTGGCCCCATGACCGATTTCCTCGACAACGTCGGCCGAAATTGTTGCAACCGCGTGCATGGAGTCCTCGACAACATGCACAGCCCCGCGGTGCAACTGCAAGGCAATCGGCGCCGACGCTGCAGCCGCCAGGCCCCACCAGCCGTTGATGTTCCCGTTGAGGGCGTGCATCAACCGATTGAGGAGCCCGCGACCCAGGAAAAAGGGGGTCCGCGGCGGAAGCGGAACACTTGGCGGCGGCCGGGCCGACCCGCACGGGAAGGCTGGGACCCAGCTTGTGCTTGGGCGGGGTTGGAGCGCGGCAACTATGCCCGCGGCGTAAGCGCCCCAGGCGTACCTGCCCCTCCCCTTGGGCTTGCCCTTGGCATCGGACTTGCCTCTGCCCTTCGGCTTGCCCTGGCCCTTGCCACGGGCATCTGCCCAAGCACTCCAAGGGTCGCGGCCCTTGCCGTACGTCGCTTCTTCGCGACGTCGCTTACCGCCCCTCTTCTTGTGTTTGTTTCTAAGAAGAGGTTGGATGGTTTCTTGGTCCATCGCAAGATTGGCCAGAAGGATCTCGTGCTCCAGCTCGTCCTGGCTGCTTTCGGAGCCAGAGTCCCTCTCTTCGCCACGCCGCGGATCAGGGATCCCGCGAGAGACGACCTCTGCCAAACGGAGAGGGGTGCTGCAGCGAAAGCACAGCTGCCTGAATGAAAGATTCCATTCATAGCAGTTAGGGCACTGCCACCCTGCAATGCGGAGCGCTTCGCTGATGTGGTCATCGCGCTCCGCCTTCTCCGCCTGGCGCCGCTCTCGCTTCTTGGCGCGCTCGGCCGCCTGCGCCTCCTCGGCCGCCTGGAGGGCTTCAGCGAGTTCCTCATCGCTGAGAAGCCTCGCGGCATCCGCCCGCGCTTGTTGGTCTTCAAGCGCTTCGGCAGAAAACCTCCGCCTCCATTGCTCGGGCGCGGTTTGAGGGTCTACCTCCCACCACCCGATGTCGATCCCGTTGATCCATCGGCCGTCGCACGGGGCGCCCGCTTTCGGGCCGCCCGCGTGCGTGGTGAGGCACTGGTCCTCGGGGGTTGATGGCTTCGCAGAAGAAGCACCGCCAGCTGCCGTAGGGGTAAAAGCGGCCTTCGACGTAGGCCCGGTTGGCTGGGAGGGCGACATCGTCCGCCTCATCCGCGGTGCCTGCCTCCATCTCAACCGAGACCTCCTCGTCCTTGACAACCTCAGCTTCCTCCTCCTGTTCCTCCTTGACCAGGGGCTCTTCTTGCTCCCGGCCAACGTTGAGGTGGGACTCAGTGCGAACCTCGGCGCGCATCAAAATGACGTCAAGGCTATCCGCGGCTGGGTCGCCCGCGAAGAAGGAATCGATCTCCTGGGCATGGAGATCGTCAAGAGGCGTCACCAGGTCTGGCGAGTAATCCCGCTTGGAACGACGACGCTCTGCCAGGCGTTGCTGAACGTCGCTCGTCGGCGGCCCGAGAGCCCGCCCGCGCGGAGCGGCCTCCCGCGGAGGTCCATGCTCGGCCTCCTCCGTGGGCTCGCTCTTGGGCGTGGACCCTCCACCGCTACTCTCTGGAGCGGGAT